TTAGCCCAATCAATTTCCTATACCCAGGATAGACTTGAAACTGGGTTTGTTTGACTACAGTCCAACAAATTAATGAGTATATCATGGGAGTTACACTCTGGAAAGTTATGAATTAAATGACTAGCTAAAATAATGGGTGAATTGTATAGGATAGCCAATAAATACTGAAGGGATATTCACCTTTTATCATTCATGTTACTGTTGGTAATTTTTTTACAAAGACAAAATAGTTTAAAGGAGTTTGATGAGTAAACACAGCAATAGTTGTTTGTGATCTAACCTAGATTAAATTATGGGCTGCAGAAAGGAAAAGGAAGCATCCTGGAATATAGGAAGTTAAGAAGGAGATCACTGTTTCATTTATCCCAGCATTAGCAACACTTACTGGCTTTTACAGTAGTCTTTATGGCTATAGACAACAGTTTTTCAATTTTTTCTTGATGATCCTATCAGGTGTTTAATCTTGGAACATTCCCCGCCCCCTCCATATACACAAATTGTGCCAAAATATGCCACTAATTCTTATTACTGTAGTTATCCCAAAATATATTTGGTTTTAAAAGTAATTTTGTGAACTGGCTATATCTGTTTTTTTAAGATCACGGAAAATTCTGGATTTCCAACACAATCCATGAAAATAAGAAGGAACTATGGATACCTCTTGTCCCCACTTTTTCTAGCATTATCCGACATATTTCTCCATGTGGTAAATCAGCAAAACTATGGCGGTTAACTGTTAATACATTGAAATGTTCAGAGTCTAAGACATTGATTCTAACTCATTGATCTAGGTTAAATCCCAAGTCTCACTGATTTATAGGTGATGTATGTTCAAGTAAGTGCATATACAATAGCAGTGCAATAAATCCATCTTTCTCCATCTTTCAAATCAATATTTTTTGCCAAATGGTTTGAAATTTTTGCCTATATGCACAACAATTTGACTCCAAAGGATATACTTTAAGTTTTTGTGCTCTAAAGGAAAATGTACAACCAGTGGTGAATGATGCTCAAGAATAACAACAGTGAATTCAGTTTCTAACCATTCATTTCTAAAGCTGGCTTGAAAGCCTTGTCTGGGTTTTCCACATTTTGGCATCTCAATTTGTGCCTTTCAACACATTTTCTAATAGTTTTTTTTTCTTTCATATTAATGTCATTATATATTATTTTTTATAAGGTAATAATATCCCTGAGTGGCGTACAGTGCAACATCTGCTTTAAGCAGTGATTGTCAATTACAAAGAGTGAAGGTTTCACAAAAAAGAAGAGGATGGCATTAGTGTTTGTGGTACATCATGTGTATTGATTAGCTTATAGAAATGAGGCAAAATGGCTGGGTCATCACAGTCATACATACAATTAAGTGTCTAGAAAGTCTCAGGTTTCGACATTTCAAGTCCATATGCATTTCACCACTGCTCCCATATTGCCATGTTGGGACGATAACTGCAGCCCAATCTACAGTTCCACATTTGTTCCATGGTGTATATGGGCTTCTCCTGCTATTTCAAAATGGAGAGGACAAACTCTTGTGTGTGAAGGAATCACTACGTGAATTTACTTTTATATCATCAGTCTGATTCTCTATAAAGACTTGCTGAAGAAGGCAAACATTTAACGGAACCTATACATAATCTGACCCCCAGGCATTCTCCAATTTTACCAATTTACCAATTTTACTAATTTAAAAAAATTCCTTCCTTCCTTCCTTCCTTCCTTCCTTCCTTCCTTCCTTCCTTCCTTCCTTCCTTCCTTCCTTCCTTCTTTCCTTCCTTCCCAACATATTGGCAGAGTGCAGAGAAATGGAATTAAAGGAATGATTAACTTGACCAGCTATTTGTGTATATGTAGCTCTCAGAATAAAAACAATTTTAAAGGAAGCTGCCCAATGTTTCCACAATATAGAATCAAGATGGAGTAAAAAGAAGGAAATCAAGAACATTGTGTTAAATGAGAGTTGGAAGAGATCAAGACCTCCCAGCGTCAAGTCCTGCAAGGCCCCTTATGCAAACCAATCATCAAATATATATTGCATTTGGAAACAGCCTGGTTTAATTGAGTGTCTTCTATTACCCTGTTTTCCTAGCAATTGGTAAAGTAATCTTTCCATTAGAAGGAAATATGACTCTTGGAATTAATTCTTTATACAGAGCGCCAGCAGGAGTGACATTTATACAAAATTAAGTCCCTGTAGAAGTGTAACAAGCAGTCTACATCTGTCTGCTCAGACACTGAGAATAAAGTGGCTCAGTGCTTGTACATTATCAGAATACAATATAAAGTGTTATTGCTGTCTTGGTTCCAAAATAGAAAAATCAACTAAAGAAAAAAAAGAGAGATATCATTTACTGGGACAGTGTCTCTTGTCAATCCCATTCCTTGAAGGGGAAAATCAGTAGAGTTTAAAACAAAACAAAATAGGATGTAGCAAACATTGACCCAAGAATTTTTTTTTTTTGACTTAGTTGCACTAAAAACATGAGGTGTTTTTTTTTTGTTTTTTTTTGTAAGAATGACAATATTGTGGTAGTGGCTAAGGTGCAGCTTCTGCCTATATTTAAAAGACACTGGGGCCTTATAAGAAAAAGCAACAGGTGTCAGAATTAAACAGTTGGAAATTTATTATGGTAGTGATGTGTGTGTATGTGTGTGTGAGAGAGAGAGGGGGGGAGGGAGTGAGGGAGGGAAATAGTATGTTGCTCTTCATTCCATCCTTTTGTAACAGATGACAGGCACCTCTAAATTAGGAGTAGTAGCTAATTAATCCCTTCCAGCAAAAAGCTTCTGTTAGCAGAAACAAGGATTGTAATTTTCATTCCCCACTGACGTTTTGAGCACTTTCAAAATCTTAATGGATGATTTAGGGACTAACTAGCAAATTCTGAGGGATTGTATAAGAGAGAGAAGCTGTATTATATGAATGGGAGTCTGCTTATGTACCTCCAAGTTTCATCTTCTTTAGATTTCTCACTACATTGTTCAGCGCTCAATGGATTAATTTAACACTTTAGGGAAGGATAGCTTCAAGAGGACTGTAAAAAATGTATTTCTGGTTCGGAAAATCAGAGGTAGAGATGTTGTTGAATACATTTCAAAAACCACTATTTGTACCACAGCTCTGCTATGTATTTATAAAGGAAAACCTGGAGTGCAGAATGCTGTGTGTATAAAGCAATTTTAAAAGAATAGCATTGAACATTGTAATCTGTAGAGAACATTAATGTCAAAAGCTCAAAACAATGACTTTGCAGGATGGCAGACTTCTGAATGCAGGTAGAATGCAAAATAATGGAAGCACTCTATAGTTCTCCCAATTTCTAAGAAGGTAAGACAGAGCAATAATGAAGACCCAATTAATGGAAGGATGAAGGATGTGTCTTTGTAAGACCTTTAATAACTGTACGTGCATACTTCTGAAGTGTGAATTTGAATCCTAAAGGAGTCATTCAAAAGTATAGGTTTGACGAACCCAAGAGAAAGAGAGTGATGGTAGAAGAAGACAATTTTATTGTGTCTGTTTATAAATTCCTCTTTAAAATTCTTGGGAGATGGAAGAAACATTTTAATAGAATGTCTCCTGGAACTAAGGAATAAAATTTCATAGAACAACCATTTCCCTATTAAGCAAGACTCATTTGTAGGGGGGGGGGGGAGACCTAAAGGCTGATCTTCAACTTTATTGCACATTATAAACTAATCAACTAGAGCTCTGGATGTGAACCAATGAACCAATGAAAGACATGGTAATCCAAAGGTTGCAGTATAGTTATATAATGGTGATGCATATGAGAAGTTTGCATTCTCACAAAAGATCCTAGCTGGTGACTGGATGGCCTTGTGACTTTTACTTCATTCTTCAAAGCTATCTCTTACTGGACCTGCTCCGATGGCCCTTGAAGGATAACAGAGCAAACTAAATCTCTAATTGTTCCTGTTTCAGGAAAGATTAATAAAATAAATTATCTGGTCCACACAAAACAAATGTACTGTTTGGGGTGCTGTATGTTGTACTCTGCAATTTAAACACTGGATTGGTAATATATTTGATAATAGTACGTTTAGTATAGACTTCAGCTCTATCACTGATGAAAAGAAAAATCTCCCATTAATTTTCTCTCTGTCCATTTGAATTATCCAGACAAGGCTTTGGCACCAATTACACAAATCTGACTTTTCATTCACTGGCTGAGTACGCATAAACATTATATACAAATTGATCAGAAATGTTACCATCTTATAATTATATATGGATGGCAGAGCAAAATTCTACTTGCCCAACATAACCCTAACACATTACAAAGAGAAATTTAAAAATACAGGAGAACGTCCTTAAAAATAGGGATCTTATTTTATGCTACAAGTGTGTGTGTGTGTGTACATATATACTTTATATATATAAAGTATTTGGTACATTTCAGGGATGGCTAACAGTTGACTCATAAAGCACTTTTATCCTCTCTCCGATGGTATGTTCAAATGTGAATTAAATCTTGATTAAAACATTTCCTACAATTTTATTCAAACAGGAAAAAAATGGTTGTTTAAAGAAGTTTAGGTGGTGCCCTTCTGTGTATGAGAGATTTCATATTGCATCTCTCTCTTTTTTTATTTTTTTATTTAATAAATAACCCTCTAGATTAGTGTGCTCAACCTTGGCTACTTCCAGGGATATGGACTTCAACTGCAAGAATTCTTGTCAATGGCCATGCTGGCAGGGGAATTCTGGGAATTGAAGTCCACGTACCTAGAAATGGCCAATGTTGGGAAACACTCCCCTGGATGATTCCATTTTACTAGGATTTATAGTGGAGAGGAGATCAAATGGTGCGTAAAAATATTTTCCTGGTTCTAAACATGGTCTAAAGCAGTGGGTCTCAACCTTCTTAATGCCACAACCCTTTAATACAGTTCCTCATGTTGTGGTGATCCCCAACCATAAAATTATTATATGTTTTCTGTATTTTTTCAAAAAAATATGTGTTTTCTGACGGTCTTAGACAACCCCTGTGAAAGGGTCGTTCGACCCCCAAAGGGGTCGCAACCCACAGGTTGAGAACCACTGGTCTAAAGGGTAGAACAGGTTGAAAAGTATGAATGTTGGCCTTCCCTGATATATACTGCTCATATACAAATAGGACATGAAGTTTCCCCATGTGTCAGAGAATCCATATGGGATTTCAATATTCTAGATTTTCCCTTATTCCCCCTCCCTCCCCAGGTTAATACATAGGGTAATGGACAGTCCCCAACCATCTTTGTATAGTGAGTAGGGAAAAAGCAATAGGGCAAGACATGAAATACTCACTCTACTGCTTTGAAATGTGCTTTGTCCACTCTTGTGTCAAGAATTCAGGGAAAGCAGGGTCTTTTAAAGTCTGTATGAAGCCCTCAATGCATTGATGCCGCGCACACAAAGGGAAAGTCCATGACTTTTTGCATAAACATACACACCTGTTTCCAAGACAGCTACAAATTGCCACATGCATTTAACTAGCTAAAACATAGAAAGTAGGTAAGCCTAGTTTAGTGGATTTTCCTTAAATTATATTTGACTAAACAGAGTAATGTTGCAAATTACTCCTCTGCTTTCTTTTATATCTACAATAAACATCTATAAACAGTGGTCTCCCAGAGCATAGCCCCAATAAAATAAAAATAAACAATAAAGATCACACTCAGTATTCTATACTTGCAATTTTCTGGTCAGTTAAAAATTAAACAAAGGAAAAAAAATTAACAAAAAGAAGAGAAACCAAAGAGGCTCCAGTCAGGAGTGCATATTTACATTCTTCAAACTGTAGCGGTGAAAAATAATTCTATTAAGTGCAGGACATTCCTAGGTTTGCAGTAGTGACAAGTTTTAAAGAAAGTCTTCATGACAACAATTCCTTTGCCTGATCAGCGATGCGTTCCAGGAGCTTTCACTTTCCCTTCACTTGCAACCAGTGGTAGAATCTGGATTGAACAGTTCCTTGTATAACGGAGGAAAAAGTGTGTTCACTATATCAGGATGAGATTGTTTAAATACCTGCAGTTTTTCTCCATGCAGGTTGCAAAGTGCAGTAATGGTTGGTGTCTTGGCTACTAACTGGAAGGCAGACAGAGAAAGATAAACCAATATTTTTTTTTATTCCAAGAGTGCATAAATGAATGCTTTCAAATTCTTCCAACATTGTTTTTTTTTAACTTAAAAACATGGCAGTAGAATTTAATTTGGTGCTGCTTAATAAAATTTCTGACTTTTCTTTGCCAACTGAAGTTAAAGCCATACCTTAAACAGTTCATAAACAAAACACACATTGCTTAAAAACATTTAAATACATTTTAGGGAACCAAAGAGGAACTAAACTCAATGTTAGGGAAGAAAAAGTGACTTGCTAGAAAGACAAAGCCAGAACTTCTGTGACAGACATCCTGTCAATTAGGCTAATCAGTTAAGGCCTTCTTAATACACTTGAGAAGCTTAAGTGGAAAAACTCAAATGGAAACACCTCATTTTAAGGTGAGTGTCTGTTTCTCCCATGAGAGGGTAGCTCTGCATCCTTCCATTCAGCAGGAGAAAAATTGCAGTAAGGACATCATCAGTTCTGAGGGGACCAGAGGCAAGATGACTTTTGGGGACTCCCTTGGCTGGCTGGGCCAACACAATGCTTACTCAACTTTCAATACTTTTTCCCCACTTGCATAATCTCCTTTTTCTCACCTCTCTGCACCTGTCAAGGAGGTGAGGTCAAGCCTACCAGCTTATCTAACTGTAGAAGAATATACTTACACTGCAGTCAAGGCTGCTTCTTGGAGCAGCTTTTGAAAGTAACATTTCCTTCAGAGTTTAGTTAGTAAGCCTAACTCCATGGTCAGCAACCTTTAACATTCAAAGAGCCACAAAGGTCTTAATCAGAAGTTCCAGTTCAATTCTGGAGCCAACCAGAAGTCCGGTTCCTCCACCATAGAGTCTCCTCCTAGCACAGCCCCTTTTTCTTCTTCCTGTCCTAACCGAAAGCCCTATCAATTGTGGAGCCGACTAGAAAACCTACTCCTTGCCATAGAGTCTCCTCCTGGTGTGCCATGCTTTTCCCCCTAACTGGAAGCTCCTCTCAAAATTGTGGTGTCAACTGGCAACAGGGAGCCGCAACAGAGGAATGAAAAAGCCACACGTGGCTCCAGAGCCGCAGGTTGCTGACGCCTGGCCTAACCAATCACACACTGCCTCTGATAGATGGGAACTAATGAAGGCATTGGTAAGAGAAGGGCCTTGCAGAGAAGATCCTCTGCAACTCAAGGTTTGACTCCCATGGGTGCTTCTGAGCTACAGAGGAATTCCAGCAACACATTTCCAACTATGTCATCTACTCTTCCACATGAACTTACTAAAGGCCTATAAATATAGTGGGAAATAGCTTGTTAGAAGTGAAAAACAGTTAATTCAGGAACAACTAGCTTCTGCCAGAATTGGGCCCCAAAACCAATTAAGTATTATGACTAAATTAACCTGCTGTTTAAGCAAGCTTCCCCATGGAAGTCTACATACCTGCAAGCCCATACTTTCCTTTGAGGTCATTGACAGTGCTTTTCCAAGTAAGTTTGGGAATCATTATATCTGAGTAACTGCTTTCTTTACTGGGGAAAACTGCCATTACAAATGAGGGAAAGCAAATATCCTAGTATAGTTGTACATCTAGATATTGGATTATCTGCAAATGTCATTTTGTATTGATGCTCTACCTTTGCCAAAGTCTCATCATCAAGATGATTCTTCTGAATCACATGTTGAAGTGCAAAATAAATCTTTTCCTGAAGTTTCTGGACCTTCCTTGGTTCTAAAAGCCAAGCTCGATCTGGCCAAACAAGACAACAAAATTAAAATAAGCATAAATATACGTCATTAGAAGGTGGAAAGGAGATTCATGGTAATTAGTTTAATTTTCAGCAATGTAATATCTCGGGTTTGAGAAAGAAGTGCATTCATTCAGTTTCAAATCAAAATCTAATTACTTTGAATTACACATGTGAAATCCTCAATGCACTTCTCTAATGGACCAATCTATTAATCCCAAAGCTGTGCCATGCAATGTTATCATTTCTAAAGGAAAACAGATTACAATTCAGAAGTTGATCTATAAATTTAAAGGACATTGAATTTAAAGACTTTTCCAAGGAAAGGGTAATACTGACAAACTACCTCCAGGTAACAATCTGTACAGTTCACTCACACATCATGTTGACGGTTCCTGAGCTACAAGAAATGAGATCTGTGGGACGCTCAACCATGACATTTTTCTGGGCCTAGCTTCTGAATTTATAACTTATACCACATTGAAAACAAAACACAAAACAGATTATATAAATTCAGCTTTCCTTAATTAAGTTAATATGCTTGCATGGGTGATGTGCTACAGGATAAGAAAGACTGACAGTGGTAGATTTTGAACATAGGATGAGTTTTTAAAAAAAAGGAAAGTCAGTTGCAGGAAATCACCTGGTGATATCAGAACAGCAGATGAAAACAAGGCAATTTCTTCCTCGGTCAGCTGCAAAGAACACAAGTTCTTTGCAAAGTCAAATGCTTCATTCACAAGGTCATCAGAACCTACAGGCAACACAGATAATCAAGTCAAGTTCTGGAAATATCTTTTGAGTGTGTATAGGATTTATACAGCTCAACTATTCAGCACTGTTGTCAAGTTATTACCCAGCTTCCTACATGAAATTTCTGGGTATGAGTTTGATAGTAGCAAGAATGAATCTCACACCCGCATGCTTCATTTGGTTAAGCTTGTATACTTTATGGTTGAAGAGATCTAGGCTTCCATTCAGCTCTATCAACAGCTCAATCGTTCTCAGTCCTGACTCCACTCAAGGGAGTCATGCGAACAATACCATGAGAACAATAGTTGTGAGCTTTTCAGTCATTTGCCCATCAATTCTGCATGCTGCTGTCTTAAACAGCCACCTCAACTTTAGAGGTGGAATACCTGAAAGAGGAACTTTAGTGAATAGCTATAAGGTTTGTAATGGAGCAGCTAGCCATTCATCTATCTAAACCACTTAGGGCTATGAAGGCAAATTTTGACCTGTCACTCAATTACTTATTATAAATCTAATGGGCTCATTCAGTTATAATAATCTACGTAGAAGTAATTTTCTCCTTTCAGGTTAGGTATCTACAAAAAAACTGAAGTCACTTTTTAAAACTTTCTGAACACAGTAGAATTTGTGATCTCACAAAATAACTCCTGCCTTTTCATACTTATATCCTGAAGTCAGACATAAAAGCTGAGTCATGGATTTGCTGATTCATGATGTTATGATACATGTTTGATCAACCTGCCCTCCTCATTCCTACTATGAATGCATGACTCCCTGACCCTAAATCTTTACAGTTCTCCTTCAGTATGTATGTTTACTACCTTACACCGGAATCTTATTCTGATCTAAAATTCAAGTTTGTACCTTTTCCAAATCTAGTACAAGTTTTTAGCCTGTATTTTTTTTTAAATTTGGCAGTAGCTCATAAATCTATTGGAGAAATGAATTTCAATTCTGCCAGATTACATAGCCAAAGCATGTAAAATAATTACTCAATAAACAGAGATTCAAGAATAAGAAAATTGGTTTGCTGCTATTATATAGGACATAAACAGAATGTCCTGATATGAACTAGATTTTAATTCTCATCTGAGAAAATAGATCTAGCAAATTCTTGATCCCCCCAAATATTACAAATGGTGATGAACTGAAACGAATCCCAATTATTTACAAAGCCTTCAGTTTGAAAAAAACAAAACAACCCGCCTACCCAAAGCCTTGAACATTTGCATTCCTCCATATTTTCCTTCAAACAAGACGGTGTTGTTGAGTGGGTTGAAGGCACGACACATTCTCACTAGAACAACTTCCAAGCAGCCTGAAATGATAACAAAAGTCCTGAAATATTACACAGAAATATCCCAACAAGACAATATAGCCAGTTCTGTGTTGTAAAAATACTATCTCTGATATTTGATGAATGTTGTAAGAAAAGATATATTAAAGCTTTATTTTAGAAGAATATTGAATCACATAATTTTTTAAACTTTGTCCCGCTAGGATGATGATTGTTTTATTTATTTATTCATTAAATTTATATGCTACCCATCTCACTGTTGAATTGGCTTACAACATCATACTTTCAATCACTATTATGAACAGTTAAACATATAACATTGGTGTTTCCACAGGACAGACATTGTGTAATTTTCTATTTCGCATTCTGATATAGAAAAAGAAATTATGTTAAGAATGTGTAATTTTTTAGTATGTGTAGCAGGTCTTGTATATCTTATTTTATTGATCAAATATTGATGCTGGTTAAGTGTTAGTAGACTGTAATGTAATCTCTTCCACAAACCTGATTTGAGAAGTAGAATCTGATCATTCTGACAGAGTTCCATGAAGCCCGATATCCGTTTTGCAAATTCCACCACATACTGAATTGCATGTGTGATCTGGATTGCGCACTGCTGCCATAATGCTTCTCTTGACTTCAAGAAGAAGTCGCATGAAAAAGAAGGAAAACAGAGAAAGAATGCTCTTTAGGTCAGAGAATATGCTGTTGAAAATTTGTAACAGATTGCCAAACATCTAATATTTAATACATCTGGCTAAGGTTTCCCTCCCTAAAACTCAGTTCCCCTCCTCCTCTGCCTCCTCCACTCCCCACAGGGATCACATTGGAGAATCTGTTTACCTGTTTGCATAATGTCATTGCCCCATTCATTGTGGCTCTTGGTTATTTAAAAAAATATTCTCATTCCCCAAATGGGCAACCTCCAGCTCCATAAAATCTGTCCATCTTTGATTTAGACTATGATAATCATGAATGGAATGGAATTGAATGGAATACAATAGAATAGAATAACAGAATTGGGAGGGACCTTGGAGGTCTTCTAGTCCAACCCCCTGCTTAGGCAGGAATCCCTATATCATTTCAGACAAATGGTTCTCCAACATCTTCTTTAAAACTTCCAGTGTTGGAGCATTCGCAATTTCTGGAGGAAAGTTGTTCCACTGATTAATTGTTTTAACTGTCAGGAAATTTTTCCTCAGTTCTAAGTTGCTACTCTCCTTGATTAGTTTCCACCCATTGCTTCTTGTCCTGCCCTCAGGTGCTTTGGAGAATAGCTTGACCCCCTCTTCTTTGTGGCACCCATGAGATATTGGAACAGTGGTATCATGTTATCCCTAGTCCTTCTGTTCATTAGACTAGACATAACCAATTCCAGCAACTATTATTTATATGTTTTAGCCTCCAGTCCCTTAATCTTCTTTGTTGCTCTTCTCTGCACTCTTTCTAGAGTCTCAACATCTTTTTAAAATTGTGGCGACCAAAACTGGATGCAATATTCCAAGTGTGGCCTTACCAAGCATTAAAAAGTGGTATTAACACTTCAGGTAATCTTGATTTTACCCCAAGGGACATGATTTGAACCCTTGGATATTTAATGTTTTATTTAATTAAGGTGTCAGCTTCACTCTCATTATGCTTATATTCCTAGTACTTTGATTCCAATCACCATCTTCTCTAGAAGGGTATAACCCATAACAAGAAAGGTCCTATATTAGGAATACCCCTCCTTAATTAAACCCAGGAATGGTTTTTGAACAAGTCTGGATTTTAGAATATGCAGATAATAACTTAGTTCTTCCAGATTCTTAACACAATCAAATTATCTGGCTCCACTTTTGATATTTCAGAAAATTGCAGGTGGAAAATCACAAAAGAATAAAGAATTAGAAGTTCAGTAGGGCATGCTTTATTCATTGTTCTAAGTGCACATTCATCTGGAAACTTACACAATTAAATACAGGGTACTAAACTTACAAATTGTGTACAGAAATCTTTTAGTAACACAAACAAGTAACAGTGCTTTCAACAACTCATAGAATGCCAGAGTTTATAACCATATGACAGGAGGTTAGGTTTGTTTGAAAACCCTTTTCTTTCCATTCTGCTTGTAGTGAGCTTATTTTTAGACAGGGGAAAAGAGGTAAATCTATTCAAAGGAAGAGTTGTAGTAGTTGGGGTTTTAACCGTCTCACTTACAATAAAAGGTGAGTAAGAAAGGGATGTTTGCTGTACCTACGTACAATAAGCATTGTGTAAAGAAAATCAAGTTAGTGCCTTGGATCATCCAGTAAATTAAATTCAGGAAATCTAAGGGGAAGGTTTTATTTTTGTTCCCACAGAGCATAAGTAAACTGCAGAAACAGAACTGAGGGTAGGTACTCAAAGTGACAGACACAACACATTAGCACAAAAAATTCAATGGAGATTAAGAACTTTGCTCCATCTTTTAAAACATTCTTTTTCAATTTTGCAGTCATGAATTCAGAGAGGCAATGCTTTCTTTGTGGTAAGAAAAAAACAAGACATTTTATTGGATTTTTTTTTGTTTTGTACCTTGTTCTGGTATATTTTGATTTCTTCATATGTGTGGGTTTGCCAGGCTAGCTGATGTAGTTCCTCCAATGTATACTGACACGTCTCCAAATGGGACTTAATTATATTCTGTGCAATTCGATCTAAGAGACAGGAACAAATAGGATATAACTCATAACATTTGGTTTACAAATAATTATATGTGTAATTTTTTATATCGGATCCCAGCAACAACATCAAAGCTGTCTGTCCAGAAGAGTGCAATGCTAGGTACAGCTAAGATCCTTTGTTGGACCCTCAAACACCCAGGCCTCTGGTAGAGGACTTGAGATTGAGGAAGTCACAGACCACCCATTACAGTGAGGAGGAAATTTACACACACACACACACACACACACACACACACACCTACATTTACAAATGCGAATTCTAATCATGTCATAATATACACTTTTTTGGTTAGAAAGACAGGATAAAAATCAAATAAAAATACTAAATAATTTTATGAAATCTATATGCGGATGGCTAGAATCACTGTCTTCCACCTGAACATTTCTAGCAGTAGTTCCTTGTAATCATCCAAAGGGGCTTTTTTCAAGAGGCAACTGGATTTTCTGGTTTTTCTTTGAACATGTTTCGCTTCTTATCCAAGAAGCTTCTTCAGCTCTTGGATGAGGAATGAAATGTCTTCAAAAAAAATAATAATCTGAAAGTCCAGTTGCCTCTTGAAAAAAGTACCTTTGGCACAGCCATGACCTTAAAGTACACATACATAATGCTATACAGTCCATATAAAAAGGGAGTTTCTCAGATAAATGTCAATTGACATCTGGAATATATACAGCTGCCAGGAACATTTCCATGTCATGTGAAATACATATTAACCAGGTATCTGTATTATGATAGGACTAAGGTGTATCAGGGTTGACTCAGCCTTCCATCCTTCCGAGGTGGGTAAAATGAGGACCCAGATTGTTGGGGGCAATATGCTGACTCTCTGTAAACCGCTTAGAGAGGGCTGAAAGCCCTATGAAGCGGTATATAAGTCTACTGCTATTGCTATTGCTATCTAGAGCTTTTGATAGGCCTCTTACTTGGGACACTGGCTTTTGTTTGAATTGCCAGTGGATTTAGCAAATATCATACTTGTGTTACAATTGTGTCATAGAAATGACTTCCCTGAAAAGTGTTCCAGTTTAACAAGGATTTCACAATGTAATCATATAGCAAATGTCACTTTGCAACATTAAAAAGGCGTCTATTGTCCAATTCACTGTGATTCATTACATTTCCAATGATTGCTAAAATCTGCACTTTATTTTGTAAGAGTGGCTTCATTAATAATAAAATGATTTGCTAGGGAAAATGGCAGGGTATCCTTTACAGAGCTGATATCACAAAGGTGGAATTAGGGAGCACACAACTTTCAAAATAACAACTCATCTCTCCTCTCCTATTTTCTTTTCCTGATATTACAAGACATTATTTTGAAATTGAGGCATAATTTTCAAAACAATAATATCCTCAGAAGTAATTTATGACTATTTAAAGCATTTCCGGTACTTTAAATAAATGCTTGGAAATATCGGAGAGGTAGAATCAGTTAGACCAGGTGTACCCAACACCGGTCCATGAACCTGCACTGGATCGCAGCATGCTAGAAACCGGGCTGTACAGACAGACAAAGCCCCATCCGCAGGATGCAGGCAGCATGTGAAACAATGCAATATCCGGTCCATGGAAAAACCTCTATCCACGGAACCATTTTCTGGGTGAAGCCCAGTTCCCCAAAAGGTTGGGAGCTGCCAAGTTACACTTTAAAGTATTGTAAAATAAAACATTGTTAGTTTAGTGGGAGAATCTTGATCCATAATATTCCTTATTTTTCTTTTTTATGCTTCACTTTTCTCTTTTATTGGCTTTACGAAGTATCAGCTGCTCATTTCTTAACTTTCTCATTTTTTAATTCTTGGGAAGTATGAATGGTTTTGCCAAAGATAGTCTGCTCCTTACAAACTTCTTAGGAAGCAACTGACATGCTTTTCTTAAATGAACAATAATACCTTTTTTACAATCTTAAACTAGGAAACCAAAATGATCACACAGGCATGAATGGAAAATCCACATTAAATAAGAGTTTCATGTGTCTTTTGTATATATTTGTTTAAAACAACATAAGCCTAGTCAGATTTTGAAATGAGAAGAAAGGCTGAATAGAGAAAGGATACAGGATTCCTTCTTTCTAACATTTATCTAATTTTTTTTTTTGCTTTAAGAATTTAGAGAATTGAGCCATGCAGGTGAAAAAATTCTAGTTAAAAATGAATACATGAAAAAATGCCACAACGAGAGCATTATTTGCTTTCTGTCTTACTATCACTCTGCATACTACGATATTGATTAATCTCAAAATATATATGGTTTATACAATATGTAGTGTGAGTTTTAGATTGTGAAAATAGTCTAAGATTAAAATATATGAGAACAGAAAGTGGTGCAAATGAGACTTGTATGTTGAAATCATTATTTCAGTGTGTGTCTCTCTCATTTCCTGTCATAGACTCCCTAACATTTATCAAAAGCTTTTCATCGATATTATTTTTTTCTCAATTCAGACAGTATACCGATAGTTGTAGAAACTTCCTAAATTAAGAAATCTAGATAGTTTATAAATTAAATGGATGAAAGCTTTTGAAGAAAATGAAATTAAATGGTCCTGATTTTTCAAACATTTGGGTTTATTTTTTTAATTGTTGTTACGTGTCAGCTAAAATTATGTTCAATTTGATACTTCCATTTTAAATTGGTAATCATGAAGTATGGGTAGGAGTCTTAACCATGACTAACTGATAAAAATTAAATGAAATTTCTGATGTGTCAGAATACAGTTATTTTGAGAAAACACAGAATGGAACTAACTCCTGGATACACGTGATTAAAAAAAGGAAGAAATTTAGAATGCGGGAATTATAATTTTTAACAAAGATAGATTCTATTGGCCATGGCTTCTGAAGTGAATGGGATTATTACATTTTCCTTTAAAACATTGAAATTAACAGAAAATTGGAAAGTCTTTAAAACATTGCAACATTTTAGCAGCTACAGGTAGATATCAGCTTTGGACCTACCCATCCACACAGTGTTACAGAATCTGGGGAAAGTGTCGATTTAATACTACTTTAGGTATGATGTAGGTGAATCTATCACAAAGCTAAGCCATTGATTTTCTTATTCTTAAAGTACTACAGTTTATTTCCTCAGTGTTAGAAATTCTAAGGTTATGCCACCTCTGGTTTTCCAACTGGCAACAACTCTTTCCCTCACTTTTTTTTTTAAAAAAAACCTCTACATTTCAGGAAACACAATTGTAGGTCAGATTCACATTGGGTTTTTTTTTTTTTTTTTTTTGAGGGAGTGAGGCATCAAATAGGCACTAAATTATTGCAATGTACAATTTCGTTTGTACCCAGCAGTCACTTATTATATACTGATCAGAGCGTGGACACATATCTATTCAAGTTTAGCAAAAATGGAGCTGATATTTATTTATATAAATGTCAAATATATAAATATCAAAACAACTAACTGGCAAAACTGGGATAAAAGACAGAAGACAGGCAAAAGAAGGGAGAAAGACAACTTGCAAAAATTAACATTTAGACCTGTTAAAAAGCACAGAACTTTTCAGAACCAAGTTCATTTCTGAGTGAGCATGTCTATCTTAGTGTGTTTCTAATCTCCCCTCACCCTCCAAGGCACAATTTTGAATCAATCAAAAGTTTGTCAAGTCCAACTGCAGAATTATTTCATATTATGTAATATATTCTGCTTCATCTAAGCTATCCTGGTTTGAACTTCCTTTAGGTGTGGCATCTCTGAAATTGAGAGGACACAGTTTTCAAACAATGCCTTCAACTTCAAGTTTGAGATGCTATTATTCCTTCCCATCTTTACATGGAAGATTTTCTGGTCCCAATGACCGTGCCCTTTTCAAGCACGTTATGCCAGCCTTGTAGGTGTGAACCAATTGTTTCTCAGTTACGATGGTTTAATTCCTGATCAGTAGCCATAATGTATAGCTTTTGAATGCTGGTTTACTGATATGCTTTGTGAAATGTGTGAACATAAATGGAGATGTTTTCTGACATAGAGTCTCTGGGTGGTCTGTCTCCCTGCTGGGCCCATAGGTATTTTTCTGGAAAATTACTATGGACAGTTTTCAATTCCAGCACACACACACACACACACACACCCAAAAAATCAACCCATATCTCCAGATCAGTGCAAACACACACATCCCTCTGATCAGCTAGCAAATATACAACTTGATATTTATTTAACCCAGTTAAAACAGGACAAACGGTGGACAAAAACCAGGAAGAAAGAGGGAGACATGAACAAGCAAGCTTACATTATTTTACATCTATAGCTGTATCTATATCTATATCACAAAACACAGGACTTTCCAGAGCTACTGGAAAGAGCATTGTGGGCAGTGGTGGGACCCAATTTTTTTTACTACTGGTTCTGAGGGCGTGGCTTGATAGGCATGGCTTGATAGGCATGTCAGGGGAAGGATACTGTAAAATCCCCATTTCTTTCCCACTCCAAGGGAAGGTTAGTGCAAAATCCCCATTTCCTTCTGATCAGCTGGGACTTTGGACCCAGAGAATAAATGGGAGTGGGGCCAGTCAGAAATAGTATTTACCCGTTCTCCGAACTACTTAAAATTTCCACTACCGGTTCTCCAGAACTGGTCAGAACCTACTGAATACCACCTCTGATTGTGGGTAAGTAGTATGGAGATTCCCCAAGGGACTGGCTTTCAGTTATTCTAGTTTAACTCTTTTATGTATGTAATGGTAGCCGAATAGAAATGACACAGGATCCACCCTCTATTTCTGCACCAGAAAGGAACCAATTTGCTGTACAGGAAGGATGTGTCCATAAAATGTGAAAGAGCCCTTTGTTTTTCTTTCACAGGTCACTAGTAGGACCTTCAGGAGAAGAAAAAGATAACTGACTCTAAGAGTGAGGCAGAGAGGATAAATTTCTCTCATAATGCAGTTTGCCCTAGGATCATGATGTCTTTTAATTATTGTTTTTGTCCAACTAAAGAATAAACAGATACTATCAATAGTAT